TTTCTTCTTTCGTGGTGGAATATAATGCGCTCATAATGAGTTTGGAAGAGACATGCAAGTGTCTTTTGAAGCCGCCTGTACCCTTCCATCCGAAGTAATTATATCTGTAGCATATTTATTTTCTTTCTCTCTGTGAAACAAATAAGCGATGTTGTCGATCGAGAGGATAAAGTCTTAATTTCACCTTAAGTTTTGAAAAACATAAGAGCGTTGACAAACATCTCAACAAGAATACGTAGAGGGCGATCAGCATCAAGGCTGATCTAATACTTTATCTTCTTTTAATACATTTTAGAAATTTAATACTTGTCTCTTTTAAATTATTCTCTAATATCATACTGCTTTCCATATCTTTATTTTCAAGTCATATATATTTGTGCACAGAGTATTTAGAATAATAAAATGATAATAATAATCGAGGACATAAGGTACAAGCGTGACAACGAGTTCTAGATATCATTCAGCTTTTTTCTTTTCTTTTGGTGGTTTGATCCTTAATCGGAATTATTTGTGACTTTTCCTATCCCACCACCCAGAGATTTTGTCAAATCTTTTGCAAGATTCACACGAGACCTTTGTACGCTAGTGTGTAGTCAAAGTAAACGTATTCGTGATATTAGTATCAAATACTAAAGCAATTAGTGGTAAACGTTATCCTCGTTCCAAAAGTTAAGAAAACGACTTGAAGTTTTAGAGAAAGCCTTGGAATATCTTGTATGTTTGATAAGGCTCAAGGGATCCGTTTACCGAATCTTTTATGATTCGAAAATAAAAAGAAAAAAATTGTTTTAACATTAAGTTAACGAAATTGAAATCAATTTTTGGTACAGATACTGCACTGTACCAAATCCAATATCCATTGAAAATGCGCAGAAATTGTTATCGTTTTTACGCGTAGTAAGGAAAACTCAAATTGTTGTTTTGCTCTTGAAAGCTGAGATTTTCTTTCGCTTCTCAGTTTTAAGCCATCTTGTGGGCAAGAACTTTCAATGTTCTCAAATATCTTAATGTTTTCCAACAGGCGATTATTTATCAAATACATAGACGGACATGCCTAGATCAATTAAAAATTCGATGCTGATGAGAGGGATATATACGGTTTAAGTTTCCATTTGGCAAGCCTCTATTTTGACAAAACGAATACACTGTCATCCCTTGGTAAACTACAGCAGATGCGACAATCACAGGTGACAGAAAGGATATAAGATGAATGATATTGAATTTTTTTTTTTTTTTTTTTTTTTTTTTTTTTTTTTTTTTTTTTTTTAGATATAAGCGGTGGATGCAAACAGGCAAACAAATTTTCTGATTTGTTTTACGAGATCTTTAGTAAATTTTTGTGTGTAAAACGCTTACTGGACAAGTTGTCTTGTTGTCGTTTGCAGACTTTGCGAATGAACAACATCTAACTTCCTGCCTGATTTAATCGTAAATACACTCAATTCCAGTCGTTCGCTTTAAATATCTACCAGGTTGAAAGTCGAACAACAAAAAGCAGACTGCCGGACATGGATGATTTTTTTTCGCTGTATATAACAAGCAGATGATAAAAGGGGATAAATAGTTTTTTTGATTAGTCGAGAATGTAATAAATGACCAAAAAAATGTGTAAATTATTTTTAGCAAGCACTCTTCAAAATGTTTCTTAAATATTTGTTTTTAAAAGTAATTTACAATTTTTTTTTTTTTACATTTTCTTTAAATTTTGGAAAAAAAATTTTCCAGAGAAATAATCAATAAAATAAAGAAAAGCGATTAAATTTTCTAAAAAAAAAAAAAAAAACACTTTTTTAAGAATTTAATTTAAAAGTAGGTACAATAAAATTTGTTTAATATTAGATTGAATTATTTCATAATTTTTTTTTTATCTCTTAACTGTGTATTATTTTAAGGATTTCTTAGTAAATTTTTTTAACTTATAACTAAACGACTTAGAAAAAATACATTTATGAATATGGATAAAAATTTGCTGTCCTTTTTACTTTTCATTTTGTTTCCTCTTCTCTTACTTCTTTTATTTATTTATTTATTTATTTTTTGTTTTTGACTTATTTTCTACGATAAATTATGAATCGGTATACGATGACCCATTTTGCTTGTTCTCATAATATTTGTATTGCAATAAATTAAAGCAGTTTATTTGTTGGCTTAAAGGTGGTCTGGATTTTACTTTTCTAACATAAATACATACAAATCAATATAAATATACGTATATACACTATTAAACACTATCAATTTCAAAACATTAATAATACACAAAATATAACAAAAAAAAAGAAAAAAAAAAAAAAAACTTAGCCCAAATAAAGAATTAAAAAAAAAATTTTGTTTTCATACGCGATATGAATTATATGTAAATTATAAAATCAAAACAACCAGAGAAAGCAAAAAAAGAGTTTTATTTGAAAAGGTGTTGTTGGCAAACTATTGTAAGTGAATTTTAACATTTTTATTAATTAATTTTTCATTATATGCATTTATTAAAGATTAGCATAATATATTATCAATACATTCATCGGGTAGTTTATAAAAATATTAAGTCTTTTAATAGAGATAACGTTACTGGATAAATGAAATGAATTTTGATTTTCAAAAAACTTGCAAATTTTTCACAACTTCTCTCTCTCTCTCTCTCTCTCAACCTATCTCTCTCGCTTTTTACAGCTTTTTCAATGCTTATTTTACATCATATTTACAACGTGAGTTTATTGATTGATTAGTGGGTTTATGCATTAGCCCACGCTCATCTTTTTCCGGCATAGGATATCCAACATAGGAAATGTTTTACGTTAAATAAAAGCTGAAATTTGTCTTGAGCGAAGTCTTCATCACAACTTGTCAAATACACAGGGTATATTCTCGAAGCATTCAACATTTTTATTATGATAATGATCATACCGCTTCGCAAACGCTTACAAAGATTACAATTGTGTTGTGCAAAAAGAACGAAATTGCGTTGCGAAGGTATTGGTCTTTACGGTGTTAATTTCTCTTAAATTTCGATTAAATTGTAGATTTAAATGATTTCCATCAAGACTGATGGTAATCTCAATATTGAATGGCTATGGAATTTTGCATACATGAAATAAATCTTTTATTTAATCGATCTTTTTCATTTCATGTTTACCATAGTTATACCTAATCTATCTAAATATGAATATGAAACTCTTCATAAAATTCGTTACGAAGTTGGGATCGGGATGGAAAAAAAAAAAAGATAAAACATTTCGTAAAGCAAAAACCATTTCAATCAGGTTAATATATTCCATGTTGTTGTCTTGCTTTTTGTAAAGCAACGGGTGACCTTTGAGTACTTAACGTTCCTCTTTGGCTTAATTGTCTTATGCAAATGACACTCTAAAGAAGCCAGTTGCAGATCATAGCATACTTATCGCTCAAGTCACAGTGGCTCTCGAACATCTGCTAGATGTACACTAATGAAACATTATGTGTTTTCCAAATTAATCCAATTTTTTCGCCTCTTGTGCAGTCTCTGCAGTTCCCCGCTTTACACATTATTCTATCTTTACATTTTTCGTCATCGGTACGCATGCGAGTTTAGATAGCCTCATGGATAGTTGGAAATTGGCAGATAATCGATTTTGGTCGAGCATCGTCGAAACTAATATTTTCCCAATAAGTATTCATTTTTCATTTTTGTCATAGACTTTCATGGAAGGCATTTCTTACGCAACTAATGCGTATCGTTTTCTTAATTTACAACGCTTTCCAGCCTTTTCAATAATGGACAAATGGACAAAATCAGCATCAGCGATGCGAAATTTACATCGACAATGTCGATCTGAATGGAATGATTTAATTTCGTCTTTTACATAACGTTTTCCATTTATTTATGTTAGAATTCCCTTACGTAGTTATGCATAAATCTAATAAACTCCTTACTTTTAACCCATAGCTTTTATAAATCATTCACACGCACCTTGTAAAACTTATGAAAATATATATATATATATATATATATATATATGTTCCCTTGATAAACATAGAGATAAATTTGATTTTGTAAATATGAATTTTTATAAATTTTATTTCCAAAACCGTTTCTCTATTCCGCTAATTGTTTTGATTTTCTTCTTTTTTTTTCTTGTTTTTTAAGCATTTTTGTTTATATCTCTTGCAGTCCATTTTCCATCTTAGGTTAAGACGGATATAATAGCACTTTAAGATTCTATGATTAATGGTTCGATTAGTAAGTATACCAGTATACCACATATCACATCGTGGCGTAATCAAGCGTGCGTAGAGTTTAAGGCAACAATTAAACAACGTTACTCTTATACGTTAAAATAAGATATTATTCATAAAATAATATGTATATGCATATGACGTTTAGATTCTTTTTTAAATCTTAAAATTAAAAAAAAAGGTAGAAATTTTTAACAAATCTTATGTGAAAATTACGATGAAAACCGACGCTATCGCCTTACCATTTTATTCTTTTACTATTCTTTCACGGACGCCGTATAGTGTAGAAATCAAAAAATTTTGACAATTAATTTGCTACATTAAGCAAACAAATCAATAATTACTCATGTCTTTGCAAATAAATTGAGAAGGAACTCGAGAATATATATATAATTTGCATTTTGCACTAATCGAGCCATAAATCTTAATGCTTAGTTTTCTATGATAGTAACTAATTCAAAGTATTTTAATAAATGCACATAAAGATAATTTCAGATAGCTATAGCTAATATATATATATACACACATGTAAGTAAATAAATACATATAAAACATATATATAAAACTATCGATATGAATGTGAGAACGATTATGTTTAATAAGCAAATTTGAAATGACTGCGCTACTACTTTAGGTGGTGTTCAATAAAAAATAAAAAAAAAATATTTCGCAATAATAATTGTAATCAATTGTTCGTATTTTTATTTTATTTATTTTATATTTGTAATAATTTCATCTGCATCCATACGTATATACATATATATGTAGGATCGGTTTAACACAAAACATTTACCAAATTTCATTTCGCATTTAATTAATTTTTTTGATTCAAAATTCAATATTAGTATAAGCAAAAAAAAACTCTTTTATTGCTGATCTTAACATTTCCGAGGAGATGTTGAAAAATGATTTGAGATCCAATGAAAGGAAAAAATAAAAAAAAAAAACACGAATTTCTAAACTTAAAAATTGCGAATCGTAAAGTTTATGCCAATTTAAAACATAACATCGTGTACATGATGGAAAAAAAAGAAAAAAAAAAAAATGCTTTGCATAATATGCATGTCCAATACGTTACATACATACTTTCACATAAAATTGAATTGAATTTGTAGAAAATGATTTTAGTTAGATCCATTCTAATGGAAAATGAATCAATCAGCAAGCCTACATATGTATGGAATATGTATGGAATCGGGAATATAATGGTCATACTGGTTTTATATTTATTTAATATATAAAAAAAAAATTTTTGCATTTCAAAGCACTTTATCTTCGCATTATTTGTTATTGTTATTAAACACTATAGTTCTCACATTATTGACCGCAGCTTTGTATGCATTTATATATGTATAATTTTTTGTTAATATATTTCCTTTAAACATTAGCTATGGGTGACTTACGTGTCATCGCATCCCGATTCGTTTTGTCCTACACGTATTGATAATTGTGTGTGGCCGCCGTTGTCGATGTTGCCTCATCTGTATTGCCATTACACAGCAATGGCTCCTGTTCAATGGTTTTATTTTTATGCATATCAAACTCATAGTAATTCATCCAATCGATACGTTTTGGTTTTAATAAACCGAAGCAAGTGCATTCCAGAAAATCCACTAAGTTATTAATAGGACCGCGTGTGAATGGACTTTGACCACCACGCGCTTGAAAATGACGATAGCGACCACGATTCATGCGTTCGTTGGTAGTCATTCCTAGGCAGATTACCTGATAAGTTTGACAGATGGTTAACAATATTACCCAGCTCATGTGTAGCAAGGAATTTGCCATAACCCAACCGATCCAAGCATTACATTCGCCAATAGCGCGCAAATCTTCAAAAATATCTTTATGTGAAAAGAAAAAAAAAAAGAAAAAAATTACTACTCAATCAATAGTATAGAGGGAAAACATCATCAACTAGACTATTTACCCTGAATATGTACATTACAGCTGTTCACGTAATAAAACGTTCCACCATACAACATCCAAGTACACATAATGAGCAGCATCCATAGGAAACCCATAAAGTAGGTATGATTTTTTAAGCCTATGCAATTGCCCACCCAAGGGCAATGATGATCGAAGCGTGCCACGCATCGATCACAAACGCTGCAATGCTTCGAGCGTATGGGTCTGCGCACCAAACAACCCGAACAAAATGCTGAAGGTTCAAAACCGATGCCTCCGCTTTCCGATAACTCTACAATAGTCTAAAAACTTGAATTTTTTTTTTTTTATTTCTCTATTTGTTATTTCACAACTACCTTAAATCGTTGTTCTTTAGTAGGCTGTATTATTCCCGGATCGCCTTTCCATGATTTTAGAAAACACACCCACAAGCCCAACGAGCAAAAGAAAAATGTTATTGTTGTCCCAAATGATACTGCATCCACAATATAAACAAACCAGGTTATGTAAAACCAAGCCTTTGTGGCCAAATATACACTCAACGGCAATAAAGCCATTAAGTGCTCATCGAACAGAGTCTTTCCCATGGTATAAAAGATAGCATATAAGCAACCGAGTAAAAAGAATTTTATGATATACAAAGTATTTAAGGTGAATACCACGCCGGCTAAATAAAATGCGGTGAACGGGCAAGCTACCATGCACCACCATCGTAATCGTTTATCATGCTTAAGGCGGCCCATCCACGAACGGCGATATAGCGATGATTGGGATGCCTCTTTAACGCGCTCCATAACTTTAGAGCTGATCCATATTGCACCCGCTTGGGTTTCTAACATAGAGAGCGGTGTTTCGCCACGCAGGTTTGGTACGTCCAGGGAAGCTTTAGACTTAAGCACTAACGTATTGATAGCGGTAGCGTTACGCGCTAGAATTGCCCAGTGCAAAGCCGTGTTACCGTGTGTATAATCGACCATAGCGGGGCTAGCCCCCAAAGTAAGCAATAAACGCACCGGATCCAAAGCACACACCTGCAACAGTTAACATAAATTTTCAAATTTATTCTATTAAATTTTGTATACACTTTCTTACTTTCCATGCTGCCCACATCAACGCTGTCATGCCACCACGATCTTGTAAATCGGGATCCACACCTTTAGCTATAAAATACGCAACTAAAGCGGTATGAGCAAATTGAGCGGCTATATGTATGCAAGAGCAGCCTTCCGCATCTCGTACACGTGGATCGGCACCGGCGGCCATTAATAAAACAACCGAACCCAAATGACCTTGTCTGGTGGCCCAGTGCAAAGGTGTAGCATTCAATTCCCCACCCACTGCATCAACTAAGGCTCCTTTTTCCAAAAAATAACGTATTATATCTCGTCTATTATTAATAGCGGCCCAATGTAACAGTGTCACCGTTTCGCTATCTGGCTGATTGACATCCCAACCAGCGTCTACCAGTTCTTTCACTCTAGCTGTAGCTCCATACTGGGTGGCCTTGACGATATCGAAACCACTATAATCCGGTTCAATCGGTGCACTTGGTGGCTGTTTCGCCATTAAAGCTGTTGCACGTTCAGCATCCCTTTCAGAAGCCTCTGTGCTAGGTGCACATGACCCAGTTGTGGCCGCATTGCAAGCACTCTGATACATTCTCGTCAATTGGTGTAATACTTTTTTATAAAAATCTTCTTTTTCGATTTACCCCACCACAACAATATGTATATGCTTTTCGGGTGTGCACCGGTTCACCCACCTCCTTTCGTTTGATTACGTATAAAAAGTGGTATTGTATTTTAAAAAAAATTAAATAAAGCGTAATACATATTTTCGGAACGGTGTGGTGGTCGATATGTTTTCAATCAACAATGTTCACTCAATAAATTGTAAGACTTGCGTTTTTAAAAATGATATGAATAATAATATTATAAATTATCGTAATAATAATATATTAATTATTTTTTTAATACCAAAATAAGTTATAGCATTTAATAAATAATAATAAACACTGTAGAACTATATATCAAGACTCTGCGCAAAGCAAATACAAAACAAATTTCAAATCCTTTCACGTCAATAGACAATACAAAAAAAAAAGGCTTTCAACTCTTGGGTCTTCGAGCAACATGTCGGAAAAGACTAAGATCGTAACAAAACAATGACTTCACATTTTATGCCAATGATGGGCTTAGTTGGTCAAGAAGTGCCATTTTGCGCAATGGTACTGTACCATCCCCTCCAGAATTGCTCGGCAAATTCAAAATTTCGCAAGAGCTCTCTTCAATTTTTACAGAGCTTCTAGCTACCAGACATGTAGTTAATCCTACCAAATCAAACACACACACACGATTTCACAACACGCATGTACTTAAAATTCACAATAGGTTAACTAATTCTGACATAGATCCGTGTCATCTGGAAATTCTCTCAATGAAATATCCACCCAGAGACGCCTTCCGTCTAATTCGAAATAATATCATGTATGATTGAAAAGACAAATATGGTGAAATTGCAACATTAACTGAAGATCGTCTTTCCTATAAGGTCCACCCTTTCATGACATTTAACCCTCTTTCTAATGTCAACTTTATCACATGGGAGATTAAAATTCTCAACAGACTCATGTGAAGTCACATATATGAAAAAGTTTATTTAAATGTGATCGGAGGGTCATCATCTGATATATGGGAAAAGTGTTTGCATGCAAAAAATTCAACAACAGCCTATACGGAAGCTTTCGTGCTCGCAATAAGCATACTAACTGCCTTTATTAACACTGCCGATTTCCTCATTCTAACTCGACAAAGTTCCGCCTAGTCTAGAACTGAATGGATTACGGCAGCATGTATAACTACTCAGCAAGAGAGACGGAAGTCATCGAAGCATCATCAACAAGCATAATGCAACCAGCAATGTTTATAATCTTAACTTCTGTTATCATGTCTTAACCTGGACGGAGAACTGTTATTAACAGTAACTCATCACTGACTTTACTGACTTGACATTCGTCTATTTATTTTGTCAACAGACTTAATCAATCCATTCATCTTTAATATGCGAAAAAGCAAGCGATAATCAAAATGTTATCTTACATTATTATATAGAAAATTCATAAATTTGGAATTGATGAATCTCCTCCTAATGTCAGAGCGTGAAATTTTTTTCACATTTCAATAGTAATTGTCTATGTATTTGTTGTTGCAAATTCGAAATTTGTTTACATTCGTTCGCACGTGCTGATTGTTGATATTTGCTAAACCATGCATGTGAATGTTTGTTTGTGATGCTGGTGCAAAAGTAAAGATCTGTGTATTTGTTATTGCAAATTCGAAGTTTGTTTACATTGGCCATTTCGCGTTTCGTATGAAAAGAAAAGAATGCCTAATATAAGCAGGCGTTTACCGAACGTCTAGCCGTGTAAGTGAAAGATCACACTTTAAACGTCCGCCACATACCAGAAGGAGAAAACAGAAGAAGGAATCATGTCATGTTACTAGTGGTTAATCAATTTTGTAATAAAATTTATTTTAGCATCGAACTCAAAGTAAGAAAAAGGTCAACATTCGCGCTAGACGGAGTTACTTAACTATCCAAATTTCTCAGTTATCTTCCATTTAATAGTCATATTGGAGTGCGAAAATCTTCTAAGAAATTTGATTATTAAGAGTTACTGGATTTGAATAGCTCTGTTAAAGTCGCCATTGTTGCTTTGCATTTATCAGCTGCATCCAGGAGAAGTGAAACTTTTCACATTATTTTGGTAACCTCTCGCCTTTAAAAGGACGACATAGAAATCAGCTCGTATTGATGAAGCCGAACATACTCCATCAGCAATGATAACGACAACAAACACCGCAGCTTAATGCTCTTGACCGCAAATTTACACTTATGAACGCAAACTCCTATAGAAGCGTTGCACTCTAATGCAATTTGCAATACACGCAGCCATAAAAGGAGTGGTCAACGTTGCCTACCCAGCCGCTGCATGACGCCATGAAAGCGTGAGCCATAAGTGCTAGCAACTCATCCCGACTATCATAAAGTCTACGAATGCAGAGCAAATAACTGCAAAGAACAAATCAAGCAAACTTATCCAAAATGCAATGCAAAATGCACTTAAACTAAAATGTTGTGATGTGGAAATCTCTTAACCGCGGTTGCAATGCAATAATGATAACACAACATACCTGCCGCCCTTATTGCCAAATATCTGGAATCTGGAATTTAAAAAAATGTACGCACACGAAAATTGCAATTACAAAGAAGAGTAAAACAAAATGTTTTGCCTCTGAATATTTGTAAGTGAAAATTGTTAATAAACAGAGTCAGATTAGATCAGGCCGAGAAATAATATTTGATCTCTATTAAATGTAATAGTTAAGTCTCAAGTTAGTATTATTGTCTGAAAGGATTTATTATTGGAAAATCTATATTCAAAGACTCCTTTCCTGATCATTTTACGATTCTCTTTAATGGCTTAGACGAGAAATTAGAAAATTCATGGAACACGATAGTCATAGAATCGCATTTTATTTTACCTCATTGTGGGCCTTTGGATAATAAGTTATTGCAACTTATTCCTTAGCAGATATAACATAAATAAAAACTAACGAAAATTACTAAAACTATATTCCAGCGATATAAATAAAAGGTGGCAATGCATTATGGGCATTACAGTTGATTTTGATTTCAAAGAAGAACTATTGTGATATTTTATAAACAATATCGCGAAATGGCAATAAATTACGCATATCAATAATTCAGATATAAATTTGCTTAGAGACCATTTAGCTGTGCCTCCTTTTGGTTCATTTGTCGAATCATTTAAGATCCTGAAAATCTCAGGCGTTTGGGTCTAGTCTAGATGAATCAGATTTACAAAGGGCACTTCCGCCAAATCTATGCATATATACCGAATGAAAACAAAATAAAAATATACAAACATTTTAGATATTAGCGTGAAAGTCGGTATACATCTTTACTATCATTTGAATGTGCAACGCAAGAAAATTATTATTATTGTTGGCCCTTAATACGGCAACGATTCATAGAAAACTGTGAAATAAATTTGTTTTTTTTTTTTTTTAGGCATTTTGGGTTATTCCATGTACTTCCTATAAATACCAAGGACTCTTTTTACTTGTTATTATTCATACTCGAAAGAGGCTGATTGTAATTTTTTGTATGTGCGTTTACGATAAAGTATTATCCCTTTCACGAAATAATTAGATTTTTTTATTTCCTTTATATATATATATATTTTTTTTAATACATTGTATACGATTTGAAAACTACTATTCGTCTTTATTGTTTTCGTAGCACTTTATTGCTTAATGCGCTTTATATTTATTTTATGCATTGATTTAATATTTTAAAGTTTTTCGCTAAAAATTAAATTTTTTTCTTTTTTTTTTTATATATATATATATATATATATATATTTTTTTTTTTTTTTAGTTTACGATGAAAAGGAAATTATTTTCCGTCCTATCAAATAGTAAATTTTTCTGCTTCAACATTTGTGACAATAAATGAAAATCTGCGCTCGTGAAGTATGCAACCCCGTATTTCATAAAATAAAGTTGGAAACCCAAATCTAACTTTGCTTAGAAGAATAAATTATTTTCCTATCACTCCTATCAGATAAAACTTAAAAAATTAACAAAATCGTTCCAAGCATTCACCTACCAATTATCAATCAAAGAAAAACAAAAAAACCCTCAGGTTCGGGTATTTGATTGCCTTAGAAATCATAATGAAACAACCGTAGCAGACGAACAGGTACAAAGAAGTTATATATCTTAATATTTATAGAAAAAAAAATAAAAAAAAAAACTTATTTTAATTATATAAAAGCAAAAAAAAAAAACATTTGCTAAACGATCTATAAGAAAATTATGTATTCTCGTAACTGATCGTTACATAATGCTTGAAATGCTTACCATCAAACATGTTGTAAAGAAAGCAAATCAGCTTTACTTTTAACATATAAAGGATATGAAGATAATCATTATATAATTATATATTTGATATATGTAATATGATATTTGAATTTCCAATTGAAGGCTGTCTCCTTGTATGGATACACAGGATCACTATGATGGAAAAGTTGATTTTCATGCAAAAAGAGAGAGCTAAATTTTGGTGGAATGATTCTGTCGATCAAATATACTCGCAAAAAGCAATGCGCGTAATCCGAAAAAAACACCTTTCAACAATTGACTTTCAAGAATTTCAAGAAATTCCTCATACGAAAACTGATTGCACTTTCTAGAAAATAAATTTTATTTTAAATTTTAAATCTGTATCAGAAATGGTTCATACTTAGGATAAAGTATATTTTAAATTGAAGATTCATGCTATACCACGCGATATTTGTGAAATTTGTTTTACTAACAAATTTGCTGAACATATCATCTTCAAAATTCGAGTATTGAAAGTTCTTTCAGTTTTTTTCTATTCGATCCTTTTAAAGTGAAAAACAATGCCCGTTTTGAGGAACTGACCCGCTTTACAATACAAAAGCGAATCTAACTTTATTTTTTTATTTACAATAACTTGAGTTCAGTTGAATTTATCGCTCTGTAAACCGGCCCTTATATCTCCATATAAACCTTTAACCTTAAAAATAAATAATGAAAAAATATTTATATTCTATTATCTAAACGTACAAGTCACATTGCTAGTCTACTTAATTTTGATCTAAAAAATCTAAAAAATAACAAAATTAAAAATAAAAATTTTGAATTTAAAGCTCAATTTTCTAAATTTTAAATTTAATTTTAAGCTTTCTAAATACAAAATTGAAAAATTGAATTTTTCAGTTCTTGGTGTTCTAAATTTAAATTATTATATAAATTTAAGTTACACCTAATAATTATATCATCATATAGCTTAATTTTCTCTATATGTCACAACACGGAACGGAACACAGAGATTTGTTGTAAAGTAAAAAATTTATATTCAAAAATTTATAGCAACGTTGTTAACATCAAGGTGCAGTGGCAGATATCTATCCCTTATAAAAACATATGGATAGGTAAAAACGCGCGAAATATTGTTTCTTTTTTTAGAGAGTTACAAATATATTTGATATCTTGAAGATTCTCGAAAATTTTTACAAATATTGCAAGGATAATCAATAAAGATGAATAATGTAAATGGTAAGAGGAAATTTATTGGATCTACTAATGGTGTGAACACTACCACAAATGTAGGATCCAGTCAGCAAAAGAAATCACGGTAAAAAAAAGAAATTTAGGAATTTATCTAAATATGATTTCTCTGCCAATTATTGTTCTTTATTATTTAATAGTAATGAAGATGAAGAGGAAATGGATACCGCGCCGCCGTATTTTGATGAAATGGATTTTACTGATGAGGTAGATATGACGGATTTAATGGGAGACGGTCCAGAGAATCTGCAAACATCAGTGAAATGGTCACGCGTCGATCCTCCAGTAATAGATCCTGACACGGATGCTTTAATATTTCAACAGATTGATGTGGAAAACTATATAGGTCAGCATTTTCCTGGCATGCCCGGAGCGCAATTTGGAGCGGTTCCAATTATGAGAATGTTTGGCATTACCATGGAGGGAAATTCTGTGTGTTGTCATGTTCACGGTTTCTGTCCATATTTCTATTTAGCAGCGCCTCACAGTTTTGAACAATCACATTGCTATCTGTTTCGGGAGGCTTTGGATAAAAAAGTACTAGCAGATATGCGTAGCAACAAAGATAATGTTCAGGAAGCTGTGTTAAGTGTTGAAATTGTCGAGCGTTTAAATATTTACGGCTATCAAGGCGATAGAAAGCAACGTTACTTAAAAATCACTGTATCGTTGCCTAAATTTGTAGCTGCCGCCACTCGTTTACTTAAAAGAGAGATTATTTACGCTGATTTTGATTTTCAAGATTGTCGGCCCTTTGAGAACAATATAGATTTTGATATAAGGTTTATGGTTGATACGGGTGTAGTGGGTTGCAATTGGATAGAATTGCCTGCTGGTGCTTGGTACTTAAGAGGCCGCCATTCAAAATTTTTACCTGAAAGTAGATGTCAACTCGAAGTAGATGTAGCCTTTGATAAATTTATATCTCATGAGCCTGAAGGCGAATGGTCCAAAGTGGCACCTTTTCGCATACTGTCATTTGATATTGAATGCGCCGGTCGTCGAGGCATATTTCCGGAACCTAAAATGGATCCAGTTATACAAATAGCCAATATGGTGATACGTCAGGGCGACCCTGAACCTTTCATACGCAATGTTTTCACCCTAAAAGCATGCGCATCGATTGTCGGTAGCCAAGTCATCTGTTTTGACACTGAAACTGAATTGCTAGATAAATGGTCCAGTTTCGTACGGGAAGTGGATCCGGACATTTTAACCGGTTATAATATCAACAATTTCGATATACCATATTTATTAAACCGAGCGGCCCATTTAAAAGTTAAAAACTTTGAATTTTTGGGACGGATTAGGAACATAAGATCCGTTATTAAGGAGCAAGTTTTGCAATCAAAACAAATGGGTCGTCGTGAAAATAAATACGTTAATTTTGAGGGTAGGGTACCGTTTGATTTGCTTTTCGTGTTGTTGCGTGATTATAAATTGCGGTCTTATACTCTGAATGCCGTAAGCTATCATTTCCTTCAAGAACAAAAGGAAGATGTCCATCATAGTATTATCACAGATTTGCAAAATGGTGACGAACAAACCCGTCGACGATTAGCTACGTACTGTTTGAAAGATGCTTACTTACCTCTACGGCTGCTCGACAAGCTTATGTCCATTGTGAACTACATGGAAATGGCGAGAGTAACGGGTGTAACTTTAGAATCTTTGCTTACTCGGGGGCAGCAGATTAAGGTCATGAGTCAATTGCTTCGTAAAGCCAGATCTAAAGGTTTCATTTTGCCGTCTTATTCTTCCCAATCCTCAGAAGAACAGTATGAAGGAGCTACCGTTATAGAGCCTAAGAGAGGTTATTACGCTGATCCCATTTCTACATTGGATTTCGCTTCTCTATATCCCAGTATTATGATGGCTCATAATCTTTGCTATACAACACTGGTGCAGCCGGGCACAAAAGAAAAATTGGGCTTAAAAGATGATCAAGTGGAGCGTACCCCATCTAATAACATGTTTGTAAAGGCAGCAGTACGTCGGGGATTATTACCGGAAATTTTGGAGTCGCTTTTAGCTGCTCGCAAGCGTGCTAAGAATGACTTAAAATTTGAAACTGATTCGTTTAAGCGTAAAGTGCTGGATGGTCGTCAATTGGCTTTAAAAATATCAGCTAACTCTGTGTATGGCTTTACCGGGGCCCAAGTGGGTAAATTACCCTGTTTGGAAATCTCTGGCTCAGTAACCGCGTATGGTCGTACCATGATTGAGATGACAAAAAACGAAGTAGAATCTCATTATACACAAAGCAATGGCTATGAAAATAATGCTGTAGTGATATATGGCGATACTGATTCAGTGATGGTCAATTTTGGAGTCAAGACATTAGAACGTAGTATGGAATTGGGCCGAGAGGCAGCTGAATTGGTTAGCTCGAAGTTCGTAAATCCCATTAAGCTTGAGTTTGAAAAAGTTTACTTTCCCTATTTGCTAATTAATAAAAAACGTTACGCCGGCTTGTACTTCACCCGGCCAGATACTTACGACAAAATGGACTGTAAAGGAATAGAAACGGTACGACGGGACAATTCACCATTGGTAGCTAATCTAATGAATACTTGTTTACAAAAATTGTTAATCGAAAGAAATCCGGATGGTGCTGTGGATTATGCAAAACAAATAATCTCGGATTTGCTTTGCAATCGTATTGATATCTCTCAGCTCGTCATTACGAAGGAGCTAACGAAAACGGATTACGCCGCTAAACAGGCTCACGTGGAATTGGCAGCAAAAATGAAGAAGCGTGATCCTGGAACAGCGCCCAAATTGGGCGATCGTGTACCTTATGTAATTATATCAGCTCCGAAAAATACACCAGCCTATCAAAAAGCAGAAGATCCGTTATACGTGTTGGAAAATTGTATACCTATTGATGCTAACTATTACTTGGATCAGCAACTTAGTAAACCTTTGCTGCGCATATTCGAACCGATTCTTGGAGATAAAGCCGAGTCGGTTCTACTAAGTATAAAATTTTTGAAAAACAAATTATTTAACTAGAATTTACATTTATTTATAATTCTAGAGGGTGAACATACACGTACACGAACAGTGGTTACGTCTAAAGTTGGTGGTTTAGCTGGATTCATGACTAAGAAGTCTTCGTGTTTAGGTTGTAAGGCCTTATTGCCTAAAAACTATGAAAATTCGGCCTTGTGCCCGCATTGTGAACCCAAGATAGGCGAACTTTATATGACCGAAGTTCTCGCTAAACGCCAAATGGAAGAGACATTTTCACGTTTGTGGGCTGAATGTCAACGCTGTCAAGGTTCATTGCATGAAGAAGTCCTATGTTCGAATCGTGATTGCCCCATATTCTATATGCGACAAAAAATACGCATGGATTTGGATGCTAAAGAGAAACGTGTCCAACGTTTTGGTTTACCTGATCGGTATTAGCTAAGAATTGGTAATAAATCCGTTGGATTAAACTATTTACACTTGGATGTATTGTGCTTATTGTAGCTAGAAAAAATCAGGGACTTTCTGCGAAGGTATTGAACTTTCGATAAATCATAAACGTTTTATATAAAAATATTCATTTTATTTTTTAAGTTGTTTAAAATTTTTTTTTTTTTTTAATACTCGCCTCCTTGAAATGAGTGCCTAATTTTTAAAAAAAACAACTTAAAATGACAATTTCATTCGTCTTATGTTTTAAAAAGTGTTCTGTAGACGTATTTTGCTTTTCTATGATCGTAATTAATGATGTCAACCCCAAAAACCAGAATTAAATAATTTCGAAGCTGATTTTTAATATAAATATTACATTCCTATTTGATTGGAAAAGCAAAAAAAAAAATAACTAACTTATATAATATCTGGAGTTTTTTTTTTTTCATTATTGACCGGGGTTGAGGATGGTAACCCACTTTAATATGAACCATCATTTCTGCATCGGTGTTTTAACTGTGCTTATTAGATTCATGTTTGTTTTTTCAACTTTTGGACACCAACTACGTGTATATATATATGCACAATTTCATCTTGCTAAAGGTATTTGGAGTCAAATTGTTTGAGTTCGAAATAATTTATGAACTAAGAAATCTCTTGTATTTAAAGTTTATTTCATTTTTTTTTTTTAAATAAAAAACGAATTTTTTAATTATGTTATATAGGCAAAAGAAAATTTATAAAGCCGTTTTCTTTTTTGTGTCGACGAGATTTATTTATTTATTTTTTTAAATCTCAATCACAAGTTTATTTATTTCTTCTAAAATAAATTTTAAGTAAAACTAATAACAGAAATTAAAAATAAAATTATTATTTGAATGAAAAAGCAAAATAATGAAAATAATAGCAATAAAAAGTCAGACATTTTATTGATGAAAAACAAAGAAATATTTTTTGAATGAATCTTGAATACATCTTGAACACCTTTTAATAAATAAAAACATTATTAATAACATATTGTTTTCATTTTTTTCGCTAATTATTTATTTATTTGTTTTTCTTTTTTTTTTTTTTTTTTGCTTTTGTAAATGAATAAATTACTTCTCACTTCTTTTTCTAGATATTTATTGTTTCTTCGACTTTGAATACGATATTACAAAGTATATATAATTTTCATTTTTTGTATAAGTATTATTCCCATGTACTTTGCTTTTTAAAAGGAGCTATTAATACAGAATGCTTTTTGGGGTGTAAGAGGAAGAGGAGGGAGGATATCTAAATATTTTTTTTTTTTTTTTTTTTTGTAAATTTCTTTAACAAGAGAAATAGCTCCTAGAAAACTAACTGCATATGCGATTACTTAAAATTACAAGTAGTATACCAAGGAAAATAAAGGAGTTTTCTTGCATCGTTGGAAAGGGAGAAAAATTGTCTCCAATATGTTCTTCAATTAATAATATACAGAGAAGAGAGTAAATAAGACTATTTGCGACTTTGTAAAGTGTTAGAAAGCCAATCCATGGCCTGGTCTAGGCCTTCGCCTTTAGTCGCTGAAGTTTTAAATATTTGAAAAGTACGATTTTTTAAATTTTCCAAACCCAAAGCATGATGCACTTCAGCCACCGTCATGCAGCCTTCCATATCTTGCTTATTAGCCAATACCACTAACACGGCACCGACTAGCTCTTCTTCCTAAAATCAATCTTTCTAAAAAATCAAAATAAAACAATTTAAAAAGAGAAATCGATTGCACCTTTAGCATATATAATAATTCATCTTTGGAAATTCCTATTCTATCGCGATCTGCAGAATCCACTACGTAAATAATGGCATCTGTATTGCTGTAATAACAACGCCAATAGGGCCTAAATAAATCAATAGAGATACGATTTAGTTGAGATTGAATTTTTACCCTTTTGTTTTTAATTTTGTTTACCTTATACTGGTTTGTCCACCCAAATCCCAAACTTGAAATTTTAAATTTTTATATGTAACTTGTTCTACATTAAAGCCAATAGTGGGTATCGTGGTCACCACCTCTCCCACTTGTAAACGATATAGGATAGTTGTCTTGCCGGCTCCATCTAAACCCAGTATTAATATACGCATCTCTCTAGAACCGAGTAGTCCACGAAAATAACTTAATACACCACCTGTAATGATAAAAGTTGAACGAAAACATAAACTTACTTAGCAAGGCAAAGCTATTCACTACGTCATTTGTTTTTGATAGAAATATTGTTTGTTTCCGATTCATGTGAATGGTTTAACATCATTATTTGTAAAATAAAGAAATTTTTTGAATTAAACTTTACCCATATTTTGTATTGTTGCTGTTAACAAGTCTCTGAACTAAATGCACTTTTGTTTTTTAAATATTTTCCTAAGATTTCTTAGATACTTTTTTTTTTTTTTTTTAATTTTATTTTATTAAAATAGCAAAAAAATTGTCGGCTGTAGTGATACCATGTGAATAAGTTTATTGTGTTTTTGGGGATATGATTACCAAAACATAAGTAACGGGTCGTTTTAGCATAAATAGCAAGAACAAATCTCGATAATTGAACGCAAGTTAGAGATCAATTCTAAATACGTTAGCTATAATGTATTGGGCGGTAGTCAATTCGCCTTTCAGTCTATGTTAGTTTTCCTTATTCCCTAAATATATAATTTTATTGGAAAAATCTTGTCCTTCCGCTTCTTCTGTTCAGAAAATCATCCATCGAAAATATTGAAATAATTTCGCTTGATTGGATGCAATTAATCTATCATATATATTTCTCATGTATACTTTCAAGGATTAAAAATACAATTTTTTTAATTAACACCAGTTTATCGACTGATTTTTAATATGAGATATTCTGAAAAATAGCATCTACGAAAAATGAAATTAGAAAATCAATTAAGAAAGATCGAAGATCTTTCAACAAAGTTAAAAGAAAATAAATTAACTAAATTAATAACATTTTTATTAATATTAATAAAATGAAATATGCACTAATATTACATATGTTCTTGTTTACATTTCAAAAGTAGAATCATATGCATTTTATTGTTGCAAAGAACAATATATTTGTATAATATAATAATATTAAAATAATAGCATTATTATATAGATACTTATATAATAAGGAACATTATTGCGGAAATCTGGGAAGTATCTCGAAAATATCAGAATTGGCTAGAAGAAACATTCGGATTATATATTTTATTAAAATGTTTATATAGATCTCATAAATAAATACATTTAGGGGATTTCGCCGCCCAATCGAGGGGAATTTCTGACACAAACCAAACATTTAGACACAAACCATTTAAGTGCAATGAAGTATTTAAAATTTTAAAATTAAATTTGGTAACATTGTAAGGAGAGTTGATGTAAATAATATATCAAATAAATAAATAAAAAAAGAAATAGTAAAATAAATAAATAATAATAATTATGGTATACCAAAACTAACCCTAACTTTTTTAAAGCTCAAACAAAAAATTTTGTGTGCACAATGGGATTTTTCATAAATCACAGCGAAATTTTTGCTTATGGAAATGCTAAGTAGAAGAAGATGACATTTTTGTGCTTCCTTTTGTTGCTAATATGAAGTCTTTATAAAATTGCACAAACTCGCAAGAATTTACTCTATGAAAACTAATTTTATAAAAATAACCATCTTTGCTCGCTCTTGCGAGAAGAAAAAGTGATAGCGATAATGTTTGTGTATTAGATAACTAAGCCAGTAAGCTAATAAATTTGCTTGATGTGCTATTCCGTACATAACTTTGTCCTCCTATCCTATGTACATTATGATTCAATGAAAAAAATTATTCTCTGCTCTTTTTAATTCAAGTCTTGAGTAAACTATGCGACACCCTGCATATTAGTTAATTATACATCCCAGTCTCGCGAAATATAATTTAGAAAGCTACGAGCACTTATGGATTCAATTTGTTGTCTCGTCTGAAAACGAGACTGTAAATTATTCCACAAATGATCGTACATCTCATATTCTTTTATAAGATATTTGATATATGCAAAAATTATAGCGCAGAGATAAACATGAAGGCATAATATGAATAAGCCTAACTCATGTTATGTATATAAAGATTTGCCAGCAATGCAAGTGATCTTAAGATTAAAAAAATTTTTTTTTCTTTGCATAGAAGCACGGAACTAAAACTTGAGAACTTGAAAAACTTTTACTGGGCAATAGATAGTTGAAATAATGAAGAGGAAAAAAAAATCGAAATCTTATCGTTTTAGTAATTTGCTAAGATCGATTGCCTTGAAGACATTCAACGTCACATCAAGTATTTGAAAATATTTTTTGCGCTATCAAATTCATAAAGAGGGAAGAAGATATGAAATCTATGATATGGCGTATGTTATGTGTTACGATGTCTTGATTGAAAAGTCGATCGCCTTATCTTGCATTGTAACATGGTACATCAGCGGAATATAACTTTTATCCGGTTTGTTTATGGCCCACACCACTTATAGTACAAGGTATATTAAGTTAGTGCGGGACACATTTTATTATACCGATCGATTCAGAATTATAATCTAAGTTGAGATTTAAGTCTATCAGTCCCTCTGCCGGTTTGATGTCTGTCCATGTAAATTCGTGTTCAAGCTACAGGTCGTAATGTTTGAGATATTTTGATGAAATGTGGTACAGTTTTGAAAATGGTTCGGATCTCTCTAGTTTTACAACCACTCGCCCTATATAACGCCCTATTTTTAAATATTAATACATCGCGAGCGTCATCTTCAGATAATATATTACACAAAATTGGAATATTTAGTTTTCAACGGATAATAAAATATTTTGAAACCCACAATTAAATCTTAAAAAAAAAAAATTAAAAATATTCTTTATTTCAAATGAAAAAGCCATTCCACCACGATTGTCGAAAGAAACAAACAAATGAAATTAGAAACAAATGGATTTCGTAATAACATCAATTTATTGATTTTATAAATACAATTTTCCTTTAGGCACATTTATATTTTTCTAGTATGTACATGATTTTATTACATATATTATTTATTTATTAATAAAAACAGAATAAATAATTATATATTATAAAAATTATATATTAAAAAAAAAAAAAACAAAAAAACAAAAAAAACAAAAAAAAAATCGTTACATTCGCCTTGCGAAGAAATTTTTAATACCCAACTCATGAAAATTAATTTTACTTTTTTTTGAAGAAAACTTTTTTCCTTCATTTGTTCAAAGCGATTTCAAATTTTGATCGACAGGCAGTCGTTTATACGTTTTTCTTTCTATATTTTTTAGCGTGGGTACATTATAAAAAGAGAATATATATAACTATAATAAAAGCACTCGTTAACAATATTTAATATTAAAATAAATAATAATGAGTTATTTTTTATAATTTCTTTTTTTTTTTCTATTATATTACGAAATTTTATCAATTAAATAACGTGATATAATCCTGATTTTTAACAACATTTACGGCCGTACAAGCTCCTTGCATATACATATAATCTGGGATAAATCAGGATACATATATATACAGTAGTGGGAAAACATGTTGGCACAATTGCTTTACTACTTTTATCCCTGAAATGCTTAGAAATTATTAAACAGCTGTTATTTTATTGACTAATTATATATATTGAATAATTATGTTCATAACATTTCCCCTATTAACGAGGCCCGTTTAAGTGCCCAGTATTCACAGCATTTTATTTATTTATTTCGTATTTCTTTTTTTTGTTTTTTTGTTGTTTTTTTTTTGCTTTTATTTCTTATTCTATGCAAGTTTGTTTATTAACATATTAATGACGAGAGACGCCTATCGTATGGCATCTTAAGCTTATGATTAACGGAATATATATTTATTTTTTTTATAAAACTTTTCATGTGCCATATAAGAGTCGATTAATATATGTAACTGTTATGTTATGATGTTTATAGTAGAGACAAGTGCGCTAATTAGAAGCTCATAAGTAGCAAAATTCACTTCCAATGAATCCGAATCAGGTTTCCAGGTTTCATTGGAAATATTTTTTTTTTTTATCTTTCATATATATGAATAATATATGTAATATTATTTGTGATATCGTACCCAATTTGATGATGAATGAAGTAGGGCTCACATTTGTACATTGCGCCTCGAATTATTAAGAGATAATTTTGATGAAAGAACTTTAAGACAGCAGACAGAAAGACAGTCATAGCTAATGCTGATTCCGGTTTTATCATAAGCATATGTCTGATTCCGTTCCTCATTTCATAGATTTTACAATTTTAATTTAATATTGCGTTTCTGGCGTTTATAAGTATCGAAATAAATAAAATATATAGTAAATACTAATAAAAGATGCTTAAGTAGCTCATTCGTATGCACCGCATAGTCGTACTCTTGCTTATTACTACAGTGAGTTCATAGTTGTCCTTGAGACATACTCGTAAACGGGTTTAGAGATTTTATAATTTTCCAAACCAATGTACCGAACGCATAGAATTTACGCTAGCATATCTCTATACTCTGGTGCATCGAAATTTCAAATATCATAATAAAAATGGGAAAAGAAAGAAGAAGCAGAAAATTATTCTATTAAAGAGAATTTTACACACTTAAGACTTGAAAGATGAAAAGCAGGCACCATTAGCGTACATTGTTTATGCAAATCAATTAATTTTAGGCGAACGGTTTTCAATTAAATCTAAAACGCATAACTAAACTCTAAACGTAATGAAATTGAGTAAACAATTAACTAACTAACAAATATTAGCTATAAGTTAATTGCGTCAAACTATTTTCTCACTACTGTATACGTTTTACATATATCCTTCTGTTGGACTCTTTATCCGATCACATCTGTACATGCGATAGTTGTCCTTTTACATGGAGTATATATGATTTTTCCCTTTCAAAAAATCATTTTCCATTTCATTATTTATAGCATTTTCTGAATTTGGTAATTGGGTATTGATCGTGTATTGCGATGCTGTCTCGTGCTCATCATCTTCTGTCTTTAGGATATTACTGCAATCACAAGAATACAAATAATTATCGAAATCATTTTCAAAACTTTAGCCGCATTAAACTTTCTAGCCATTTCTAGCCATTTCGACAGATTATTACGAAATTAATTTTGATATTTTCTCAATCAAATATTGGTTTTTCTTTTCTTTTTTTTTATCACTTTACAAAAAGAATTATCTAAAGAACAGGTAAACCCACACAAAAGTTCGACATAGTCCATTATTAAATACCCTTACATTTACACTTAGCGTAACGCAGTTCTTTTCAAGATAAGTTTTTATATGGTAAGTGTTTGAAAAACACTCGGCTCGAGCCGACCCGAACCCGTTTTCACTGGCGTTCATTGTTAGTGTAAAAAATGTCGGTGCATTAAATTTCATCAAAATATCTTGAAAACTGAAACTTGTAGCGTAAATAAAACAGGGGGAAAAAAAAAAACAAAACAAAACTAACTGACGGACAGACACGGTTAGATCGATTAAGAAACTGATTGTCATATATATGTGGATGCATATATCCGCATTAATTGAATATACCCTTATATCCCAAGTGGTGTCGGGTACGAAAAAATCATTGTTAACTTCTTGACAGCTCCTAAGTTTATTTGTGATCGAGTGACAACAAATGTTTGTCCAAAACAAGGAAAGGTAATTAATTTTCAAATTTTTTGCCCACTGCTGGCTCAGTTCGACTACAAGAGGAGACAAAGTTTAAGGCACTCGATATATTCATCTCATTACATGTATATTTGATGTAAAATTTTTTATACAATTTGACAGTGGCTTGCAAGCAATTGTACAAAATAACGAATTAATAGATTTTCGAAATTATTGTCGAAATATTATTAGGGCTTGTTATAGCTTGATGATATTTCATGTGACGCAATAGTATAGTGTAAGTTTTTGTGAATGTATGCCACACCTAGGAAGGAATTGGAGGATGAGCCCACCTTTTGTGATATAATAATTATATAATCGCGATCAATTTCTGAATCGATGCAAACTTGTCGGTCCGTCGGTTCTTCTTCTATTCTTATGTTCAACGTATAGGATTGAATTTGGTGAAAATTTTTACAAACTGGCATTTCTGGACACTGGATCAACGACGAAAGTTAGTGGACCGCCTATAAAGCCTCATTTCGAAAAGCCGTCATATGAATAACTATAGTGTGGTGTGGTAAACTATTCACTAATGTTTTTACTCTTTTTTTTTATTTTAATGTATGTGCAATGCGAGTCCTATTGAAATTCGGTAAAAACTTTCACAAAAACTATACAAGAATCTCTCAAATTACTAGGCCTTTGGTAATTATGAATGAATTCATTCCCTAACATTTAATTTGAAGAGAATGATGAAAGCAAAATTCATCATAAATTGATTCTTACTTCTTTTATGCTTATTCGCTGATCTTGAATATCTAAACTTAAATGGAATCTAAATCTTATCCTGTCCTCTAGGATGGCTACAAAAAAAAAACACACACACACACACACACAAGAATCATCCAAAAACGATGAATTTGTTGCAAGACATCTATTCGCCACAATTCATTTTTTGAATTTGAAAAAAAAAAAAAAAAAAAAAAAATGATTTTAAGAATGTGTTTTCAATTCGTGAAAAAATGTTTTCAATTAAATGACAAATACTCTGAAAAACTAAATATAAGCAATAAAGTTGAAAAAATTAATTTTTTTTTTTGTCTCTTTTTAAGCTAGAAATTTTTAATGCCGTTTATTATATGTAGAATATATACGTTACCTATATTTATGATTTTGAATGGCCTTAAATATACTCTTTGGGCAGTCTTTGTAATAGGGAAAACATTCAGCTGGCGGTATTAGACCCTCACCAATTTCCTGAGCTTTAACATATTCCGGTATTAAATCGGAAAATGGTGACTTCGTTACCCTATAATTTATATTCAGTTAGGTTAATTACATGTTTTCTCGTTTTTAGCCGACTTACGTGAGAAACAGTTTAATCATTTCTCCGAAGACACCAAAATGATCCAACGGACGTGAATGGATCTCACATATAGTGCGCAATAAACAAGCCTTGCCGTTCAATCCAAATGTCGATAGAAAATTCTCAACTACGCCGTATAATATTATTCTGAAATTTTGTATGCGTAACGAAAAAGCGAAAGAGAGGGAGCGAGAGAGAAAGAGAGAGAGAGAGAGAGAGAGAGAGAGAAAGAATTTTTAATAATTTAAAAAATTTTGCAAAGAAATCCTATTAACCTTTCGCCACCGTGGAAAACATGCTTGAAACGTTCCGGTAGTTGTGGAAATTTGATACCCTCTTCCGACTTATCCCCCACTTGCTCGTTATTATTGAAATATTTTCTTTTTGAATTTTCAATAGAATTTTGTTCACTTAAGTCGCGTTTCCGTTTAAAATGCAAATATTTAGTCATATAATCGCTTAACATGAGACCAGCCGTATGACCAAACGAACGGGCAAATATTGGCGGCAAATCACCCAAAGGATTTTGATTGTCCGTCAGACCTAATTTATCAAAATCAACTGAAAAATAATATCAATAAAAATAAAATGAATTATTTTTTTTATAAGAATTCGTTTAGCCTTAGCTTTTGTTGGCGTCTAACGGTACATACTTGTTACGGGAAAACTGATGGTTAAATTGGAAAAGAAGCCCTCGGGTGGATGTCGAACTAGCGGCAAAGCAATGGTTGGCGTAAATGTTAAGGATGTGCCTGGCGGTAGTGCCAAACGACCATCGTCCGTTATCCATATTAAACGTTTTCTTCGTGAATGCGGCTGCTGTGAATTTGAATTATCGAACTCTTTATGCTGAATTTCATCTGTTAAGCTATTGATGTGTGCCCTCGACTCGGGTATAGCCGGGTATGAAGCTGCCGCATTTGTTAAGCATACGCACTGTGTGGCAAGCAGTGCGAAAACGATCAGATATAAAGCTAATTTTGAGGTTGTTTCTAAGCATAGCCACGATGCAGACATGTTTTAGAAAGTTTTGATGCTAAATGTATGTGAAAGATATGCAGAAAAAGGGAAAAAGAATACTTAAGAAATTGGGCAAAGTTAGAAAATATCGCTGATAAGCGAACTTTTAAAGCTATACTTTTTAATAAATCACGCATACTAGGCGACCTTAGGTCATTACCATTCCCCTATTTGGCTCCCAATTGCGGATAAAATATATAAAGATTCGATTTTCTATAAATTCGGATGCTTGAGAGGATATATGTAGCTAAAAATTCCTTCAATATTCAAAGATGATTAGTCCGGGGAAGAGATAGGAACTGGGATGGGCGATAAAAACGAATTTTTGCTGTATAGGCCGAAAAGTCAATAATTGGGGCAAAAGTAAAAAGCAAAACTGATTGTGAAGACAATGTTTCAAACGCAATGACACGTCCATAATAATTTGGCATTGCTTGGTCCAGGCAGAAATTTCTTCCAAATTGTAATTCCTCTTGAGACCATTGCCTCTCTTCTTGAACTTTCATTCGATTGTCTTCAAATTTTGAAATGAGATCCTCTTGCTTATGAGTATCAAAATTCTCGATTCTATAGCCTGCTTCCGAATGATATTTTAGGGAAAAAAAAAAAAAATAAAAAAATTCAAATCGACATATACCCCAGTTATGATATGAAATATGTTAAGTTTAATCGAATGTGTGCAACACCTAGCAGGACTGAAGATAGAGAATCGTTTTATAAACCGAATTAATTTTATCTGTCCGTCCGATGCCTGCTCATGCCCTATTTTGTGTTCAACTTGAAGGCGTAGTTTTTGAGATATTTTGACAAAATTTGGTACAATAGCGTTTTCTGGCCTCAAGATTAATCCTATTGAAAATGAATTGGACCAGACAATTTTTGCTAGCGCTCCTCCTCATACAATGACTTATTTTGAAGACATCGTTTTATCAGTAAAAATTACAATATTCAAAATTTCTCAACAATAATTGCTTACTAATAGTACTTCACCATTTTAAACCGATTTGCATCGGATGGAACAATTTTTAAAAGCCCTTCCCATCCTACGAAAAGTTGACCTCTCTACGTCAAAACGATGTAATCTTCATTAGTTCATCGTGAAACTTGGTCTATATACAGTAGTAATTTGACATAGAGATCAGTTGTACCAAATTTGGACCATGTAGATCGATTTTGTGTATTCCACAAGATATAGGAGTTTTCATGAAAACTAAACTTCTATACGGCAAAAAGGTTTGATTTTTAATAATTTATGATAAGAATCGATCCATAATAGTAATCTGATAAGGAAATTAACTGTAGCAAACTTGGACCATGTAGGTCTATTTTCATAGCCCGATACCATACAAGAGCTTCCATGAAAATCATGTAAATTTTGATATTTTACCACAAAAAAGAAAATGAAGAAGTGTATTTGACGAAGTGGCTAAGGGTATTTGAAGGTCGTCCTTACTCACTTACAGTATTAAAGTAAGAAAGCGATCAAGAATTTGATCATGAGCGTCGAACACATCGACAATAAAAGCGTTCTGAAATTTTCATTCGTTTAGCAAATTTTAGTTCGCCGCCTTTAATTTTCTTTATCGAAAAATTGTAATGCACTTACGTATAGAACGTGTGATGGTCCACAACAAAATTAAAGAATTGGCTCAGCTTGCCCAAAGTTTTCACATCAATTTGGAATGCCGAAATACTACGACTTAGTCACTTTTGCTGAGAAACTTTGAAAATTGCAATTTTTTTCCATATAATGAGGAGTGGGTGAAACAGTGGACCAGTTGGGCCATTTTGCAATAGCGTTCGTCCTTCGGCCAAAGTACGTCGGTGTACGAAATGTCATCAATATATCTCAAAAATTGCGAATCGCAGTTTGGACACAAAAATACATGGACAGACATCGGATAGATGGGCAGACAGGCAGACAGTTGGACGGATAGACTGGTTTAGATAGATGCAGAAAATGATTCTAGGCGGGTCAATGCTAAGCCTTTGTGCGTGTTACATACAATCGCATAATATTTAATATACCCTGTAATACAAGTGGCGTAGAATATGAACGAATTCTTTGTCCCATCTACAGGATTAAGTGAATAACTAATGAACTTTGGCCATACTTTTAATACATATTTCTACTCACGTTAATGAAAACAGTTCGGGCGAGAGTTTATTTTTACGTCGCGTTTCTATCTTCTTGCTACGCGTTTTATGTATTAATTATGAAAATTCAATGAAATTTTTTGTTTACTTTCTAGACAAATGATGATTTAAAAAATCATTTAAAAAGTTGAAGAATTAGAAAATCGGAATTTCAGGAAGAAAAATGGCATAGTGGAAGTCATCCTTTGTCATTGTCGCTGTTAGTCTTTCGATCTACTTTGTGAGTAGAAACATTTACGCGACCGTTAACCTCAATGAAATTTCTTCATAATTACGCTTTATGCATATGTTTTAAGTGAACTTAACAAATTTCATGTAAAGAGTAGGCGTATGCTTGTCTACACCATAGGTCATAACAATTTGAATAATCTTTCAACTAAACGGCATTGAAATCGTTTAAAATTTACAAAAGTTAGAAAGTTACCGGGCAAACGATGCTCGAAATTAACTTAAATAACTAAAAAAAAAAAAAAAAATACAACAAACAACAATTGTAAGCATAAGTATCCTCGTATAGACGAGAAAATTTCGCGACCAAGTTGAACGTGCAAGACGCGTTGCATTGCGTTTACTATTTAATCATTTAACCATTAATTCATTGTACATTCTATTTAATGACTCTTTGCTTGTTCTTTTTTGTTGTTGTTGTTGTTGTTGTTTTTTTTTTTTTGTGAGAAACTCATTATTTCTTTTTTTATTCGCAAACTAGTTAATGCCTTAAAAGATCGCTTTATCTTAGAATAGTGCCTGTATTAAATAACTGTTTTAATGCTTATTATTATTATTATTATTGTTGTTGTTGCTGCTGCTGTTGCTGTTGCTTCTTGTTGTTGCTTTAAACTAATCTTTCATTTTCCGTTGAACGTTAAACACAATGCAAGACTCCTTTCGCGTTTTTTTGTGTCGCTGCCGCGAATAGTGGTTTGGTAAGTAAGTCAAGTTTGCATTGAGTTCTTCCGAACATGTAACATTTTTATTGGCGTCATTGAAATTTGAGAAGCTCTCCACTTTTTTTTTTTTTTCTTTAATATGATTAGTTGCGCACAATTTGGTCTTCTAGCATAATATTTTACATTTTCTTATACCCCCTACTCACAGATAAAACTTCCATTAATTCTCTTATCCCATTTAAAATATTCATCTCAATGTCAAGAAATAAAAGGCTACGCTTCGCCTGCTGTACATAGTGATGTCTATAATCGATTATATGTTGTGAAGATCCTCTTCGGTCTGATTTACTATTTACTCATTATTAAATATTTGTCCAGATCGAAAGCCTGAATTATTTAGCCATCATCGTATGCTTCGTCATATTCTTGGCGAAACGATGATTAAGAGACAGATATCTTGCTTTACAAATTTACGCTAAGAATTTAGGCACCCGTAAAATATTCCTCGAAGAAGAAACGATCACAATTGGTTAATTTCTAGTAGCTCTAGATCGTGAGATTTTGTTTGACTTCATTTCACATTTCAATGCATCAAATCATAGAAGACGAACGAACATTGGTTTTTTTTGTTTTTTTTTTGTTTTTTTGGTTCAGAATTCACTTTCAATCTCAGTAATTTAATGTTCACTACCGGCAAATAAGCTATCATGTACAAATTTCAACTGGTATAACAGTCCATAGGTGACACAGAGAAATGCAAAGTGCAGAAAAGCCAGATGTAGAAATGTCAGAGATGTCAGTTTAAGACTCAGAAAGGCAAAGCATAGAAGGGCAAAGGTACGGACCGTGTGAGTCATTGCAAGCAAGACAATCGAACTACTAGCTAAATATTTCGACAAGGGTTACATTGCGACCATCTATGGTGGTAGTGTTAACGATGACTCGAATAACATACCGCTTCTTCGTCGTCTTTCTAGGTTAGGATTTGGTTTCTTAAATCAAAATTACAGTTGAGAAAAGACTTTTCAAAAAAATCTACGGATCAGTTGATTACATGTATGATCCAAATATTTATCAAAAAAAATAGTCGAATAGGCCACGACGTAGATAAAGTTCAAGATTAAAGTGCGTTTCGAGAATCGTTTAATGAAAATCCTTGCAATCATTTTATTTGTTGACTTGATACTCAAGTGGTATCAACGGTTGTGATCATTATTGGATCCAATGTTCTTTAGATCGCATCACCTATAGACGGACGGTACTTAATAGACGCATTCAGTTGAACATTACAGTTTCCTTAATCGTTTCTTATCATTATTTGGTGCCATTAAAGCCATTAGAAAATTTTGTTAACATAATCAAACAATTACATTACATCAGTATATCTAGTGGTTATAAAATATAGAAAATTATAATTGATTTCGAGATAGTGTGATGCATGTAAATACATGTACGTGTTTGTATGTGTATTTGTATGCCAATACGTGCATATACACTAGGAGGGGAAAAGAGATAGATAGATAGATAAATAAAGAGAGAGAGAGAGAGAGAGAGTTGGTGCGGTGGGGGATTGGTGGTGGGATGGCGGGGACAGAAGAAAAGCGGATGGGGAAAAAGTTGTAGCGAAAGAGGGAGATTTTTCGCTGCATTTCTTATATTAAAGGCGATAACGAAAAAAACAAAAACAAAAATAAATTAAAGCTGAAAATATGCAAAATTTCCCCTACATTTAGTTTCAAGAAGTTACACATTTTTTATTAAAAAAAAAAAAAAAAAGAAGAAGAAGAAGAAGAAAAGAAACAAAAATCATTACACGAATGATTGCAAACATGCAATCGCGAACGACTTAAATTTTATTTATTAATAAATAAATTTTATATATTGATTGATTGACGACAAGCAAAAGTAAATGAATTCATGCAAATGAATGAACAACAACTCACTTATAAATTCATTCAAGTACCTTAAC